TGACTTTAACGAAACGCGATTGTTTTGCATATTAATTAGAACTAGCTTTAGTGCAATGGATTCGCATAACATTCCATAGAGAAGTTTACCGAAGCCGCTTATCTTTCTTTATATGTATGTATGTATGAAATAATTCGAAACGTTACTGTTGCTGTATGCTGCACTCGTGACAAATTTAGTTAAAACCGTTCGATCGTCAACAATTTAACAATTTTGAAGAACTTAGTACCGTTTATATGTATACCTGGAGCAACACCATAAATAATAAAACCAAAATCTCGCGTAAAACTGGTTTTTAAGCCAATTATTTATGCTTAAACAAGAAAAAAGAAAATAAATTCGATTCTTGCAACCAAAAAAACGTGGTTGGTGCAAGTTTCGCTTATATAAATAAAATTTGTGTCAGAAATATGTCTGTTCAGAACTTGATTTATATACACACTTATGTATGTATATTCAAATGTAAATATGTATGTATAATGTCATCCTTCTGACGCAAATGAGAAGAAAACCACGGGAATACGGAAATCTCGGTTCAATATCGAACCCTAACCGACAAAAAGATGTAAGCGACATTTTGATGCTCAAGGAACACTTTGGCATCAAAAAGAAANTATTGAACAAGAGGCATTGCCATTCAGCATCAGAAATTTTCTCCTTTAGCCAATCAGAAAGATGCGAAAGCTTACTTTGACACTATTTGCATTCAAACAACTGTCAAAATTAGGCTAACATTGGAAATAAGCTAATTTCGTTTTATTTGACCAAGATTTAGCTATTTGCTTGTGATGGTTGAATAAAACATGCCTATTGTTGCCCACACTGTGCATATATGCATGTTATGTATGTATGTATGTACATATACGTAAAGCCTTCCGAAATAAACATTTGCTTAGTTAATAAAATCAAAATCATTATCCCTAACTTCAATCGTTTCAATCGTTGGTTTTTTCTTTTGGAAAATTATAAAACTATAGGTGGCCTCAAACAGATGCGATACTACCGATGTGATACGATATCGTATTTGATGCGATCATAATAAAAAGCAAAGGCCCTCAAGCAGGTGCGATACAATACCCTGCGGGCCTTCATCTTTCTTATGACAATCTTTATATTCCGAATACTTCAAATCATATAATATGTGATAACAATTGACGAGCTAAATTATTAATTCCATTTAAGAACTCTACAAAGAACAGGTCATCATATCGTGCGATCAATTGTGCCTACTGTAATAAAATTTTCGAACGCATCGTATCGCACCGGTATATCACATTTGTCTGAACACTCCCATATACCGTAGTGGTTCGATTTTCAAAAATGAGGTGTCACATGAAGGCCATGTCTTTCGGGTGTACAACATAGCTTTAATTCCATGAAATAAATTGTCCCATGTTAGAAAATCGAATTCAAAATTTCTCTACCGCAGAGGGTTGCGTTAAATATTTAACACCAAGTCATAAAATCTGTATCGTTCGTTCGATTTTGAAAAATGAGGTATCAAATGAAAGGGGTTAACCTGTAGATGTGCAATATGGTTTTCGTTCTTTAAAGGGTTGCCATATATACGAAAATCAAATTCAAATTATTTATTAAAATAAATAAAGATAAGGATAAAGATATAAAGACAAAGATATATAGATATAAAGATAAAGATAAAGGAAAAATAAAGATGAAGGTGAAGATAAAGATAAGTAGACTGTTTTGATCGACCTGCAATTCTCGCAGGAGATTTCAATGTCAACTGAGCAGTCCACCACTCGAACACACACTGGACTGGGCAGTCGGCCGAAAACAGGTTTCAGTTTTGTGTACATGAACTACGCATGATTGTGTTAGTGCATGTGGCACATGCAAACAAACCGAAATAGAAAACATGTTGCCTATGTGTGCGTGTCAGTCCACCGTCAATCCTCGATTTTCGCGGAGTGAAATGAGCGAGGTAAACTCGAACTCCCTTCCCCCTCTTATCAACACAAAACCGGTTTTAGGCGGACTGAGCAGTCCAGTGTGCGGAGGCCCATTGAATACGCCTTGCAAAGAACCTTACATTTGTTAAAACAAATTAAAGTAGTTACAGGAAAAGTAATTTTTCGCGTTCAAGGTGACTTACTGTTTCGCTCTCGCTCCTCTCTTTAAAGAGAGTAATTTTGACATTTACACTCAAAGCTCCTCTCTGATACATGTACAGTGACTCAAACATACAAATGACCACGTGTGGTTTTTTTTTTATTAAATATTCGTAATATTTTGTTATTTTTCTATAAAAATACCCATCAAGCTTTAACCAAAAACATATAAACTACAGATTAAAACTTTATACAATATTTAGGACTATTCAACAAATTTTTGTAAAAATTTCAACTTTTTAATCTGAATCTTTAGAACATTTTTGGGTATGTAGTTTCACAGAACGCCCAATTTTAGCCTAATGAACTGCAAGTTTCAACCGACTAAAAGTCGCGTTGATTTTTTGGATTTTTTTTTTTGAGACTACGTTTGCGGTTTTTTATATAACAAGTGCAATATGGTGGTCCAAAATAAGTAAAGTCGGAATTTTAATGCACTCACCCCCTAGGATTGTTTTATATCGAAAAAATATACCCCTATTTTTTTATTTTTAAATCAAAAAATATTAGAGTTCACTCAACGCGCTCAAGTTTACCATGTATTTTATATGGGGGAAAACAACTTTTCGTAGAAATGGTATAGAATTCTTGAAAATCAATAAGACGTACAATAACAATACACAATTGTTTATTTAAACATTTTTTAATACTTAAGATTTTTTATTTACCCCTCGATGCATTTTCTGGGTGTTTTGGCGTACCTATAAAATATAGTAACTACGAAAAAATGGGTAAATAAATAATTGGGAATTATTACTGGGAGTCTGATGAAGAGAAACAGAATTTTCCGGTAGTAAAATATTGATTTTCAAGAATTATATACCTTTTCTACGAAAAGTTTTTTTCCCATATAAAATACATGGAAAACTTTAAGCGCTTTGAGCGGGGTATATTTTTTTCGGTATAGAACAATCCTAGGGTGTGAGAGCATAAAAATGTCGACTATACTTTTTCACGTGCATTTTTGGACCACTCTAAAGTGCAATTTACAAAAACTTGCATTTATTTTTTTGAAATTTCAAAGTTTTCAGATAAAAAAAAAAGCGTAGGACAGCCAGCAAAAAAAATTCTTAGAAATCAACGCGTTTGAAATTGTGATTTACATTTTTAGACATTTGAAATTTGCACATTATTATACTAAAATTTAATGGGCTATAAAACTGCATACCTGAATTCTTTTTAGGAATTCGTATTAAAAAGTTCGCGATTTTGCTGAAATTTTTCAGATTTTTCTTAATATTTGTGCACAGTATTATTCTTGCATTTAAATAGAGTTTGCTTAAATATAAGCCATATTTTAATACGAAATTAATAAAAAAATTTTTAGCATGTAAAACATTGAGAATATTAACAAAAAAAGAGCCGTACGCTCAATTTGAGAGTAACCGTACATAGTTTGAAACTGTGATTTACATGGTTTTGTTTAAAGGTTGGACGGTATTTTTATACAAAAATAACAAAAAATATTAGTTCGATAAACATTACGAATCTTAAAAAAAATCAACACGTGGTCATTTGTTCCAGTCACTGTATGTACTTGTACATATCTTCCGGTTATTAGATATTTTATTGTTATGCGAGAAAGGCGGTAATCGAGTACGAAACAGAAGTTCGCTGAACGTGAAACAAAATAAAGCAATGCAAAGTTAAAGCAGAAATTGAGACAGTCTTTACAAACGCATACCCAACACTACATGCATACGTTTCCATCCACGTAAATCTTGTCTGCATATAGACCTTTACGCGTCTAAATGCAATAGATTATCTCGTAAGTAAAATACACAACAAATTTGTGCTTGTTCTCTCACATTCAATTGTGATTAAGAGAACAACATCTGTCAGAGAAAAGAACGTCAACAATATTGAAGCGCGCCAAAATCTCATTAAGGAAAGTCAAAAGTCGAAACAACATAAACACCAAAATGTTAATCGGCAGCAGGTAGTTTTTTTTAACATGCTGGTCAAATATGTATGTATGTACATCCGTCTTTCAAGCATTAAATGCAAACAGCGTCGACCAATGGCAGGAGTTAAGAAATTGCAAGCTGTTGTAAAATCCGTTGGAGAGCCAAGAAAAAGACCAAGCATTTACTTATAGGTCAACCGAAATAAAACAATAACATATAATAAAATCGCAACATGCCGATGTCTTTACATTATAGGTACATATTAAAAAAAAAATTAACATGGGGGGTCTTTATTAGAGCAACGGAAGCCAAATTTTAGAATTTTTGTCTGTCTGTCTGTCTGTGCGTTTTTACGCGCACCACTCGAAAACTAATGCATGGAATTGAATGCAGTTTTCATCGATGCATTGCTAGTGGTCTAACTTAAAATATAGAAAGCAAAAAATTAAAGAGTTGCCACCTGTTTGAAAATCGCAGTTTAAGTAAATTTATTAGAAAAAGTAAATATTGGAATATGGCAGTAAAAAGGAAAAGGTTTAAGAAGGATTACAGCCGAAATATTTTTGTTGAAGGTTGCCACATATATTTTTGACGAGGACGGCCAACTGTTTGAATAATTTTATCCAATTAAATGCTTAAAATAAGTGAAATATTACAATACGGGTATCAAACAGCACTAAAATACTTTTAAGGCGCAGTGAAGCGCACTGTGTATTTGCTAGCTTAAAATAATTTTAGCTGGATGATAAATGCGGTAATTTTAAAAAGAGTATCTCTCCATCAGAGCTGCCATATTCACAGTTTTAACTGTAATAACAGATTACTAATTTTGGTCCGAGGAATACGGGATTGGACCTAGTAAAAAGTTGAAGTTGAAATTCATATTTTACGCAAAGTTTTAACATATTTTACCTCACAGATTTTTTCTTTTAACATTTCAGATATCTTTGAAAAAGCGTATTTCAAGTGTTTATGACAACATGAGCTATAATCAGAAGCCACCAGGTGCCGGCGGGAGCGGCATGGGTGGTGGTATACCACCCAATGGGCCAAACAACTCGCAGCAGGTTGCTAAAACTTTAGCTGGCATACAACAACAAATGCAGAGTTTGGTTCATGGTCAAAATACATTGCCGCAATCATCACAGGCTGAACTCAACGTATTCTTGCAGCAGCAGCGTTTTCAAAATATGTTGAAGCAACAACAATTACTGCATTTTCAAATGCAGCACCAGCAACAACAGCAACACCAACAACAGCAGCAGCAACAACAGAAGGATCGCGGCGGTGGTAGTGTTGGTATTGGTGGTGGTGGTGGTAGTGGAGGTGGAGAGCCATTGGCTCTGACCCGCACCCCGGCCGCCGCCGAGCTGCTGAATAAAACGTTTCAGCATCAACAGCAACAGCCAAATGGCAGTGCCGCTGCTCCAAATGCAGCATTGAATCAATTCCAACAGCAATTGCAGGCATTACCGCCCAATATCATTCAACAGCTGCAAACCTTGCAATATCAAATGCAACAACATCAGCAACAGCAACAACATCAACACCAACAACAGCACCAGCAGCACCAACAACAGCAACAGCATCCATCTCAGCCGCCACCAGCGCAACATCATCCAACTCATCAGCAACCGCCGTCATCGGCGCAACAACAACAACAACAGCAGCCACAGCCATTGTTGACTGCACATCAGCAACAGCAACTGCATGGACAATTTCAGCAACAACAACAAAAAGCGCTCCAGCAATTTCAGCAGAGTTTGCGTTACTTCCCAACGGCAGCTCCTACTCAGCCGACCGCTGCACCACCACCAACAGCTGCAGGCAATAAAGGGGTGAGCGCTGCTTCCACGCAGCCTCCAACGCAAACACCACCATCGACTGCAGTCGGTAATCAGCTAAAAGCACCTAATTTGCCGCCAAGCACTCAAATAACACCGTTGCCAGTTAACGCCGCTCCAGTGAGTATTATTGGTGGTGCAGCACAACAGTCCATCAAAAACTCTGCTAGCAGCGCTCCAGTTACCACGGCAACATCGGCTGCTCTGTCCAGCGCTGCCGGCGGCGGTAGCGGCAGCAATGCTGCCTCTACAGGGGGTGCCAAGCCGGTACCCACCCCCTCCATTTCGTTGCTGCCCGCCAAAGCTGGCACTTCAACTGCTGCACCAACTGCTGCACACCAACAAAGCAAATTTGGTGCTGGTAAAACTTCACCTGTGGTAAGCGCCATACCACCACCATTCCCCACACACTTCCAGAAGCCGCAAGCTATCGTCTCAAGCGCCAATACAGCTACTACCAACATAACACCGATAGGTAAGGCCGGCGCAGTGCCAACTGGTGCAGCAGCAATGGCAATTAGCGTTGCAGGTGCATCTGGAGCAACCAAGCCACCACAGCAGAGCGCAAATCCTGTACCGCTTACAAAACAAGCATCCCCTGCGCCACCTCCCACTTCGCAATTGGGAGCAGCCAGTAGCGCAGCTACGACTTCTTCAACTTCAACGCCGCCTGCTGCGTCAGTGGCTGCACCCAAAAGTGTAACAGCGGTCGGTACAGAACAAATTGCCGCAGCACTGAAAGCTACAAATTCAACAGCAGCCTCACCTGTGGGCCCAGGTGTCAATGCTACACGAATTTCTGCCGCAGAGAAGAACGCCAAGCCGGCAACGTCGGAAATAGTAGAAGAAGCTAAAAGCGCTGAAACGGTGGGCAATGCTCCTGCCAAAGCGAAAGAGGAACAAAGTGCAGACAATACTGCGAAACCATCTGCAGTCGACACAAAAACTGATGGGGCAGCAGGCAAAGGGGAAGGTGTTAAAGCCCTGAAGCCCGCTGATGCTGAAAGTCCGGCCGAGAAATTAAATGCACCTGCTGGCGGCGAAAAAGTGTCAACGAATGTTGCAAGTGGTTCTGATGTTGGCGGTGACGCAAAACCGGAGCAAAGCAAGCCACCTACTGCTAAGGGACATGAACGTAGTGAAATTGTTGCTCCAAAAATCGACCCTGAAAACAAAGGGGTGGAGGAAAATAAGGTAATTAAGAAGAAAAAGTGCAAAATAACTTGAAAACCATTGAATATTAACGAGTGTTTATAAATTCTATATATTACACTGGATCACAAATCGGTGTTTTTTTTTGTTCTACGAATGCCCCTATTCATTTCCCATGTAGCATCGCCCGCTGATTCCGAAAATTGAATTAATTTTTGATTCTAGGGATAAGTTTTTGAGATATTTTCAATTTACCGTTATTCAGCTTAAAACAAAAAAAAGTGGTTCCACTTAACCACGTATATCTTACGAACTAATTTAACAATTTGAATACCAATTACGGAAAATGAAAGCTAACAAAATTCTCAATAATCCGTATATACATCATCTGATATTTCCTGACAAATAAATAAAAAATTATCGAACTTTAACAGGAGATAAATTTTAAAATAACAGAATCTGTGTAAATTTTTTGCAATTGTGGTTAAGTCTGTTCTGTTATATACAAATCAAGTTAATAACGAAGAAAATCCATGGATAAATAACGAAGTAATGACAGGTCAAATGAAAACGCGCAAAGATTTTTAGTATGAAAAATTAGCACGAAAGAATGTTACTCATACGCCATGCACACCTGAGTAACTTGCTTTTTCTGTTGATATTTCATCGTTAGTATTTTTATTTTTTTGTAAAGGAACAGACATTCCATACAATAAAAAAAAAAAAATACAAAAAAACGGTAATTTTTTTATTTTTCCCCTCTTAAAGTTTGAACTTGTTTCAATATTTTCATAAAAAAAAACAAAAAAAAATTTGAAGTGATTTATCAATTTCTCACACACTATCAGGCTTACTATACCGGTTTATGGAGAATTTTGTTGTTGGCTTTCATAACTGTAAATTGAAAATATCTCGAAAACTTATCCATAAAATAAAAAATTAATTTTCGGAATCAGCGGGCTATTTACATAGTAATTGCATAGTGGCATCCATTAAATATTTTTGCTGTAAACCACTGTTATTAAACGTGGGAGAAAACTGTACATTTTATGAATTCATTCGACACTTCAGACTTTTTTATGTGTTATATTCAAAGAACTGATAGGCAATGCATGTTTTTTCTTTCAGAATGAGAATAAGTCCGGACCAACACCAGTGTCAACGACAAAGGTAATAAACCTTGCACCAGCTGAAGAGCAACCCGTTTTGAAGGTGACAACAAAGGAGTTAGAGATTGGCAGCAAGAAACAAGCCGTTACTGCTAAAAAAGATCTCGAAGAAAAGAATGAAGACAAGATTAAAGATGTCACTGAACAGAAGAATAGAGCTACAGAGAAAATAGTTATCACAAAGCCAAAATCGGCTGATACGGCTGGGAAAAATTCCCCAGATACTGTAGAAAACAAATCTTCACACGTAGAGAAGAATGAAGCTTCATGCGCTGTAAATGACTCGAAAAATTTAGCTTCTACTGCAACAGATATAAAATCAAAAGCCGATCTTGTACCAGCAGCGGAGGGAGATAAGCGTCAATCTGGTAAATCTGCCGCCGCTGATAAACCCAAAGAAGAAAAAACTAAGATTACAAAGTCGGAAAAGGTTTCAGCGACAGTCCCTACAGCAACTTCATCTGCAGCCGAACAGCCAACTCAAAGCAACAGCAACAACCACACCATTGCAAAGAGCACAAAATCAAAAGTCGCGGAAACCGCTCCAGACTCAACAAATTCGATATCAGAGGCAACCTCCAGCCCAGCTAAGCGCTCAGGACGACAAATAAAAACGGTAACAAAATCCACGGAGAAGGCAACTATTGAAAAGAGTGAAAAAGTATCTAGTAGCAGTCGATCTAGAAAGTCAAAGAGTGGTATAAGTAGCAGCAGCAGCAATAGTAGCACTGTGGTCGATGTGCCAGCCTCACCGGCCACGCCCAAGCTCGAGCAAGCGCCCAGTACTAGCGCTAGCGACCGCAAAAGTTCTCGTCATCGCCTCAAGACCATTCCCTTTCAAAGTCCATTGCCTGAGCTGGCATACATCACAA